TACGACTTTCATTTAGATTAATAAGGCTAAAAGTCGCTCTATCATAAATTCACTATTTACGTCTTCCCGGTGCTGTGCCGGTTCCGTCGCGAAACTTCGACGGGTTATAACTTCTTCGTTATAACTCGGATTTCGGCGCTCTTTTTATGTACGGAACCCTTGAGACATATTCTACAACTTGGTTAATATTATTTATTCTAAATAATCTTTTGTCGAAAAGTCGTTTTTGACCCCTATTATCTCTAAATTGACTAGCTCAGATCTATGGACGTTACAATTATCTCCCCCCTTAGAATGATTACGTCCCGGAATCATCAACGAAACAGAACTCACATGATGACTCCATACGTTATCTCTTCATCGTAAGTAATAACCGTAACTTTCATGTTTCTTCGAACAAGTATCTAACTCTTAGACTTCCTGACTGCAGGCGATGCCCATTCTTGGACACGCTCTCTATCTCATGTTAGAATTCCAAATCATTATCTTCATGGCGCGATCTCGATCTTTATTGGAGAATCCTTCTTTAACAAACTTGAGATAAGTTTCTTCCTTCGATTATCATAATAGACCGATGGGTCATGTTCTAATGACCTCCTATCGCATGATGCATCGCTTGGACTCAGGTCTTTTAGAGTAAAATTCTAGAACATACTATACCTTCCTTCATGTTCTAACCACATATTAAAAGGTAGATTTTCTATCTACAAGCAACCGTTGTGATACCTCTACTGATCACTTCAATTATCTTTTACTTCAATCCTATGGTTTAAGTCAGATGTTACATCGAACTTGGTTCTCGGAACCACATAACATACTCAGCGTAGTCGGAGTCAAATTAATATAACCACTAGGGTCGGAATAACAATCATCTTCTTAGTCATTACCGAAACGATGGTAACAACATACATGAACAAAACAGAATAAATTACTAGCTTCTTGGTAACCTTGTGACGTTCCCCGATCCAAGCGTGAGTCTTATGCTTCCGGTAGTATATGCATCTACTACATTTCACACCGACTCATACTCGTCCTAAGTATTGTCTCGTAGTCCCCAAGTCCAAAAGTCACAAAACAATTTAACACATATGAGTGTGTCCAAATAATCATAAAAATTTCCCTAGACTCTACTAGGACTTCTTCCATGCATATCTTTAATCATCAATTCTGCTTCAACTCGGTTGGTGATGGACATTCCAGATGATAGGAAAACTTTAGGAATTACATCAATCGTTCTATCATCCCGCCAATCAAATGTGTACATTCAGATGTACCCTACTTCTATAGACGTACTGCTATTTTATCAGATGCATTCTAAACGCAAGATACCTCTCTTATGATATCTGCTGATAGGTATCATTCAATATCGTAACCCATCTCATTTCCTCTATTTTCCCAGTCTATCATGGTTCACATCACTTCCTGAATTTCTGCCATTGTGATAGGTTCAGGTGCAGGTATAACGACCGATGTATGACCCATCACATTCTTAGGCTCAGGTTGTCATCTTCCTCTTGTTTTGTACACCCAAGCAGACGTTGTAATGTCTGTGTTTCTGAGCTTGCCATTATTAGCAATTTAATAGTCTAGGTTAACCTTTGTAACCCGTTTTGAAATAATAGAAGTGTATTATTTGAGTATTATGTGTTTTGTGCTTAATTGCTTAATTATGTGGTTTGATTAATTAAGAATAAAAATAAGCATCAACATTTAAATGTAAAATAAACTTGATATCTTTAGATAATGTTTTAGTAGTTGAAACAAGGTTTCCGAAGATATAAAGAATGCCGAAATCCAAGTTATAACGAAGAAGTTATACTCTGTCGAAGTTTCGCGACAGAACCGGCATCGCTGAATGACGTAAAAAGTGAAATTTACGTTAGAGCGATATTTAGCCTTAGTGATCTAAATGAGAATCAAAGATCTCATTGTTAGTATCAAAGCGATAAAAAGTTAGGCAAGAACGGACGTCAAATGAAGAAGTTATGAATTTATAACGAAATTTTCTGTCCCAATCTATTAAAAATAAATAATAAAAATAATTCAAAATTAGCCGACGGAGTCTAAACAAAATTTATAGAGCGTAGTCTCACCTTCGCGTGGATATAAAGAACGTCAAAAACGGAGTTCGTATGAAGAAGATATGAATTTCCGAAGTTTATTAAATAATTAATAATTAAAATTAATTATCAAACCTCGGTATTATCCGGATGCGAGTCACCGGACTCATCCGGAGTACGCCCCGCGTACTCGTGTACGCCTCGCGTACAGCGAATAGTGTCGACACTCGCACTCGAGGACTTCGGATGACGCATGCAGTGACGTTTCGGAGGCAGTACGCCCCGCGTACTGCGAGGCATCAGCCTCCTATAAATAGGATGCGAGGGCAGCCGACTTCTTTGCTATTTTTCTCCATTCTCTCTCCCGTTTTGCATCGATTTGCGTGCCAGAAATACCCCGAAGCCCCGACATCATTCCCGAGTCCCGAAGCAAGTCCCGAGATCCCGAAGGTCCCGAGAAGTGCGATTTCCGAGCTGAAGCTCTGCCCGCGAGAAATTCGATTTTTGTAGAGATCTTCCAGATCTGCTGAGGATTTCTACTTTTGCAAGTCATAGTGCTATCCGATCATCTTCTGATCAAGTGAGTGTATACTACCTTTCATAAACGCAATAATAATACAAGTATGGTTTGAGTGTATTAAGTATATTGTTGTTTATATGTGTGAGTGCGTTGTTACTTTCTCCTAACGTATAATTATGAAGTATTTTATACGAGATACGTGTTATGTGTATATTTTGTTGTTATGTGTGTGAATGTATATTCACTTTCTTCTATCTTACAAATCTGATTATTTCTATATGAAATACGTGTTATGTGTGTGTGCCTCATCTGTTATATGGAAAATGTATTGATCAAGCATGCTATACAGGTTTTGAAAATATGTATAAAAATGTATGTTTTATCTACTAATATGTTGGGTAGAACATGGGTAGATAGTTGGTGTGTAATAAACAGATGAGAGACCTCGTTGTTGTTTTGATCCAGTCATCTAGCGGAATTTAGATGATGACCACAGACTTTTCTAGACAGTCCAGTGGAACGCTAGCAGGCTCATAACCTGTAGGTGTTAATGAACTTGGGTGTTCATTCGCTGTATTCCATCCCCCTCATGGTTGCCTTATTTGACTTATATTGCTGAGGAACCCCCGCAGCATGTGTTGTCACCCCGATGAAAATATTCTTAGATTAGGTCCCTTGTGTTAGTTATTTTAGGGACATAAAGTGAGAATAACGGGAATGGGTAACTGGGTTATTGTTGGTTGATAATAATTAATTTAATTATTTATTGTGGGTTGAAAACCCTATATGCTCACCAGGCTCCCAAGCCTGACCCACTCAGTTTTATTTGTATTACAGGAAGTGGCGCAAGGGTGTAAGATGGATGAACCATCAAGTTGTTTTGTTTACAAGTCTGTATATGTATATATTTGTTGAATGACTTGTAATGTTATCGTTTATGCTTATTGGTCTATATCGGAACATGACACCCCGAGTTTTGATTATATAATGAAAAAATACATTTCTTTTATGAAATGCTTTGGTAAACATTGTTTTATCATGTTTTGTTTTTGGGAACAAATTCCGCAACTCTTTCAAATCAAAAGGAGTTACTCTGAATTTATTTTAAAAGCATAAATGAAAATCGGTCTTTTCTGGCCATGATTTTAGGGATGTCACAGACGTTCGGCGTACTAAGACGAGAATTTAAGATAGTAATGATTTTATATACGATAGACATATAAATCTCCTTGTCACACCGAAACGTTACATGATACTTCTAATATCGTAATCATACGCTTAGAATCCTGAACACATAAGGTTTCCAGATCCGGTCGGCAACAAACCATAGATACGAACAAATAACAACAAATAAGGCATATTTATAGCTATAACATAAATCATTTAGCACATAAGACATTTTAGGCATCTTTCCTAATATAAACTAGTGCTCGTGTCTAAATTATAGCAGACACTCATCTCACAATCATTGCTTAGCATTCTAAGTTTAAGTCTAGAAATTTTCTACAAATTCCTAGTTCACTTAAACTAATGCTCTGATACCAACTGTGACATCCCCATTTTCACGGCCAGAAAAGACCGATTTTGTTTATGTTTTATGAAAATCAGAGTACCTCTTTTAATAAAAATGTTGCGAAATTTGTTCCCAGTAAAACATGATAAATACGTTATCAAAGCATTTCCGAAGAAAATTATTTTTATTCATTTTAAAACATTTGGGATGTCATCGTCAATACAGAAACAAAAGCAAAAACAGAACTTACATTCATTATCACTAGTGATATATATCTCCTTAATCTCTCAGTGTAATGTGACTTCATAACAACACCTATGATAAAAATAAACTGAGTGGGTCAGGTTGAGAAACCTAGTGAGTACATAGGGTTTTCAACCCACAATAATATAATTATTATCTTCACTACTAGAAAAACAGCCTTTTACGACGCTCATTGTGTGTCGTAAAATGCTTAGACGATGCGCAAATGCGCGTCAAGAAAGGCCCTCTGATAAAGAGAGACGACGCGCATTTGCGCGTCATCTATAGACGACGCGCATTTATGACGCGCATTTACGACGCGTAGTTATGACACACAATGCGTATCAAGGAAGGCCCAATCATAAAAGAGGACGACACACATTTGCGTGTCGTAACCTTACGACGCGCGTGTTTATGACACACAATGCGTATCAAGAAAGCCCCTGTCAAGAAATACCATGTCATAAATGAAGATGACACACATTTTTGCGTATCATAATTTTAAATGTTCTAAAAAAATATATTTATATATTTATTAATTTTTAAATTAAATTTGCATTTAATGTCTCATAATAGAAATAAAATATCATATACATAAAATACAACCCATTGCATAAAATTTAATGTCATACAATTCTATTTCTTACAATATCTAAATTTGCATCTAATCTACTCCGTACATCAAATTCCAACTAAGTAAAGTTGCATGTTGTCTTTCATAATTCTTTAAGACTAATGCTCCAAGCAGCTGATTATATGGATAAGCAGTTGTGCATTGGCCCATCTCACTCAAGAATGACTTAGCCAAATTCAACTCCAAGTCTTTACTGCATCTTGCCGATAATGTTGCAAGATTTGAATCAAGTGGCTTCATATTCCTTTCTTCCATCAACTTTACCTGATGCACAAAATACACAGAAACAAAAAAACTTTGTAGAGGAAGGGGTAATTTGGGAAAATGTGAGGGGTATCCTCTGCAAAACAAAACAAAAAATATCCTTTAAAAGATTTGCTCTTTAGTATCCTCTGCAAAACAAAACAAAAAATATATATCAAAAAATGAAATTTTTTATAGTTTTATATTATAAATATGCTTAGAATATTGCGTACCTGAAGAACCATTTGTTAGCTCTACAATTCTTTTTGAATCTGAACCTTGTCTTTCATCACTAACACCAGCACCTTTTGTAGCCCCTAGGACTCTGCATAAAAGTTAGAAAAACTAAATATTCCAAAAATACCCCTAGGACTCTTTTTGTCCCAGAATCTGAATTAAACCACAAGTGATGCTTCGATTTCTTTGTTTCTCAGAACTTCAACATGAAGTGTCCTGATGTTGTATGTGTAAAGTTTCACACTTTACAAGAGATTCTTGGGGATGGAAAGAAGGTTAAGCTTGAACGGAAGGTAATTTCATATCATATGCTTTTGTGTTAAACTTGGTGTCATGGGTGGCTGTCCACCGGGCATGGATGGCAAGTAAGGGCTTGAAGCATTAGAAGAAACAAAATAAGTTTTATTAATCACATAATAAACAAACATTAGAAGCACCTTATAAGCAAGTGGGAGTATTGAAGTCCCCGAATTTGCATACACGAGCCTTAAAATCCTTGGTTATCTGCACAACAAGCTAGTTTCCACCAGCAACATGGGAAAATATGTCCCAAAAACTATTTGAATGACCTAATCATCTTTAAATTGCATCAAATCAACACCAATTCTCTATATCTTCTTCATTTAGACCAAAAAAAAAAATTAAAAGACCTTGATTTTTAATTAATTGATTAAAAATGACAAATTTAAAATAAATGGTTTAAATAAAAAGAATTGTTTGAATGCAAATGCAACAAAGATAACTCCTTGTTAGACCACTAAATTACCAACCAATTAAATTATTAAATTGTGGTTAGATAAATGAATTTTTAAAATAGAAAAGAAAATAGATTGGTTAATTTGTGTGGGTGTGTTCATCTGTTGTTGTGTTGAGATTTTTGATGACTCACCCTTGCTTCTGTACATGTAATTGGAAATAATAGAAGAGGGAAACACAAAAGCAACACGCCCAACCAAATATTAACAGCATCATGGTGTTTTAAAGGCCAATTTTGGTCCAAATTCTCTAACGCGAAAATGATAGTATGAGTATATATACAAGGGTAAAACGGTCATTTACACATATCCAAACATCACTTACTATTTTATCTATGCAACACATAAGTGTCACCAAATCAGGAACCATTAAAGCAACTAAAGATAGAGTCAAGAAACCTCCACTTAGTCAAACACTAAAATTAGCCTGCATTCAGAAAGCTGCAGGGGTGAGTCACAATTCATGAATCAGTTAAAATTTGAGGAATAAAATCAAAATCAAAATCTAGAATCATGGTGATACAGAAGCAGTTACAGATATTTCAGTCCCAGTTAACTTTTCTTTCTTCTTTGGTGTTTCTTTTTTTGTAGAACAACTTTGTTTGGAACCAACACCAATGTCACGTTCGTGTCCCTGAAATTCTTGCTCTCCTCAATCGCTAGCTGCACATTACAATATTCTTATATTTTTAATAATACAACGTTGTGCAAAAAGACATAAACGCCCTTGTCATATCACATACACATACCTCCCCTACATCATCACGGAAACATCTAATAAGATCAATCACATTATTTTTTAACTCGCTTTCACGTCCCTTCAATTTCACTATTAGTTTCACCTGTCAAATTACCAAAAAGTACATGATAAAAATCATCACATTTCAATTAACAAACACACACACACACAATAACACACAGAGAGATCAAATGAATTATTAAAAAAACCTTGTCACCATCTTTTAGAAACTTCTGAGCAGCTTTCAATAACAAAGCAACAAGATGCCCTAGATCCTTGAAATAGAATGGATATACGAGATAACTTCCATGTATCAAGTGGAAGAGAGGAAATAATAAAAAGAAAATGAAAAGGGTACCTTTTACGAAGATGATTAAGTTTCAGACTTTCATACACTGCATGTAGTAAATCAATAATCTCTAATAAAGATTCAACTGTGTGGGAAGTATCCAGGTGTTGAGAAGCAATACATGATTGATCACTTTGAAGTGATATTCTACGAGAAAATCCACTCATGAAATGAGATTTAGAATATTTCTCGTGAAAGCTGCTGTTGACAAGAAATTCCCATGATGAACCTGAATGTATCTGAGGATTTTTCCAATCTCTCCCAGAAATGTCTAATATGATAGCGCAGAAAGACTCCCATTCGGTATCAACTGGAAAATCCAACTTAGATAGATAAGCTGAATCACCATTGCCCCAAAGAAGACCCACAAAATGATTATATAAATTAGCTTCAAGTCCCTCGACCATTGTTGTGATGCAATCATTTTCCAATGATGTTGAAGGGTATCTACGAAATGTACATCTGAGCATCTGTAATAAAAAAATGGAAAAAAAATTGTAATGTTAACAAGAGAAAGGAGTTTAACAAGTGAGAACATATATGTATGTGAGTAGATATCAAACATGTCCATTATTTGCAATGACATTGATTCTCCCTTCAACAACATCAACCAATCCAACAACTTTTACATCTTGGAAAGCAGTTGGTGCTTCCAGTGGCTTGACCTTGTGTGAATTGAAACATCACCATGGTATTGAAAAGAAGGAAGGACATATCTACACAAGCATTGATTTTCTGACTAATTAAGTGAAGATCATATAAGTTCATTATAAAATGTTAATCACTTGGAGACACCAAAAAACAAACATTTCTTTGAGCTTTTTCTTTTACTTATACACACACATACGCTACATATATATATATATATATATATATATATTATATATATATATATATATATATACTGTTAACAAAGTTATTGATCATAACAACTAGATGGAAAGAGCAACAAACTTAACCAGCTTACATAAAGTACAAGAGTGTTTTCTGGAACCAAAACAATGATATCTCGATAGGGGAGCTGTCCAACTTTAACTTTGGAAAGAATAACAAAAAGGCTTTGCATCAACATCCTCCATTCTTTTTACACCAATATACGCACGACCAGATGCACATATTTCCTTCATACCCTGTTTCACACAAACAGAACGTTAGGGATAAAAAGGTAATATTATATAACATAAAAAAATCAATAAAAATATGTTCCTTAACATCTAGAACATAAACAACCTATTATAGAAGTAAACCAACCTAGCAATAAAAACATGTTGCTTAACCGTAGCAGATGACAGAACAACAATAACATATTGCTAGCCAATAGTTGGAGTATGCCTACAAATTGATCGGATATCAGCAAAAGAACTCTTATGGTATATAAATTTTCATCTGTTTAAAGAAACAATTTCATAAGATCATTAATTTGGTAATAGTGGGTAAAAATCTAATGGGTTATATGATTAAATGTTAATAAACTCTCTCTAAGAGTCTAGCATTTGAGGTTTGCCCTATATAAGGTATCCATGACTGCTATGAAACAAAGAACTGTATCTTACAATCATAATAAAATACCCAACAAACCTATATCATAAACAAATAAACATTAATTTTACAATAATAGAGCAATACCATAAATAAGAAAGAATCTTGATTAACCAAATTCAAACTCCTGCTGATCCTTACTGTAGTAAACTGACTTGGATGAATTCTCACGTGATCCTTCATATATAAATTTTAATATAACCAAACCTGTGAAGGAACCCAAAGTAGTTGAATTTATGGAAGAATTATTTGAAATGCAATCCCATCCTATCTCTACCTACAACAAATTCAATAACATTACACTTATAATAAATAATGCTTTCTCAATTCAATGTTATAGCTCATCCTACTCTGCTAAAAGCCTAAAACAAATAAAAGTTTGGAATTTGGAAACCTGCAACATTTTTATATAATTAAATTGTTCAGTGTACATTAAGTCTTCAAAACCCTTGAACCAAAACAAATGAACATAGTTTATGAACTGAAGCCTCATAATTATAGACAATTCATGTTCAATAAAAAATTATGCTCAATAAAATCCAAACAACTTTATGAAAAGTCATACAACCTTCACTCAAGATTAGAACACATACATACCTTCCAAATCAGTGTGGAAAAATCTCAATAATTAAAAAAAGCAACCAAATTGAAAGTGACATAAGATTGCTTTGGTAAAACAGAACTTATACCGGAAAGTCAACTGTACCTGCTTTTTGAGCTTTTTCTGTAGCCAAGTTGAAATCATTAGAGGGTAAAATTGTAACCTTTTACATATACCTACAATGAGCAACAAACAAACAATATTGTCATTAAACAAAAATACTGATCATTTGATAGTGTAAGGCATAGGTGAGTCTTGTTTGAACATCAAACTTTTGGCATAATAGTTACCAATCCCAAAATGTTCAAATCAATTGTCATTAGTTAGCATATGTACAGTTGAGGACATTGAGAGAGACAAAACATAGTACCTGAATGGTAATAATGAATTGGAATAATGGTAATCTTTAGTTTACTCTCTACTTTACCAGTAACATGTAGAGAAAGATTGGGTGTGCAATGGATTCCAAGATTTAACTAACTTACTGATTATAATAATATATATTTGGGTTCAAACATTTAGTCAAACACCTGGTGTGCATAAAAAAAATCAGGAACTTATATCATAAAATATTAATAATTCCAAAAGATTTGAGAAAGGGTAAAAGGGCACAAAAGTCGTCCAAAAAGAAGGACCAGTAGTACATGAAATAGGTAACTGTGGTTGAAAAAAGAAGAATTACCTTTGGAATATGCCTACTACGCAAATGAAATACACTCCTTTAATTTTGAAGTCTCCAGAATCGGCATGAGGTGAAGATGACCTGAAGCAACCAGCAAACTATCATACTAAATGATGGAGGCGTGCAGAAGTAAGTAGGATGGAAACATCGGGAGAAACGACACTGCCAACAAGGAGAACCCACAAAAGGGAAGAGACGAGAAAAAGGCACCGTCTCATTCTTCTGCTTGTTTCTGTTGTATAAGTAAAATTGAGATTGATAGAAGATTATAAAAAATTGGGATGAGAGAAGAAAGAAAACATACCTTAATCCGTACGAGGTGGGTTGAATCCGAGCTCCTCAGACTTTGTAGAGAGAACTCATGTAGCAATGACCTAAATCATCGGTTCTCTAAGAGTAAGAAAAATAGTGTGATTCTAATGGGAACCTTAGATTTCTGTCGATTCTCTCAAGTTTCAATAAAAAATGAGAAAGAGTTAGGGAAATCAAGAATGGAATGCTCACATTTACGACCATTGGGAAGATGAAAGATAGAAAGAAGGTAGAAAAGAAGAAGGCGGGTCTTCAAAATTTTGGAGATTTCATTTCTCCCTGTCAATAGGAGAAGCACGTATCATTAAAATTATAAAGCGACAGTCACAGAGGACGCACGATTAAAATAAAGCGCCCTTTGTGTTTTTTTAATTTTTTTCTCGGGACACTAATTTAAGGGCACGCAATAATGCGTGACTTAAATCCTTAAAATTTTTGAAGAGATGAAACTATTTTAAGGTCACTCTCATTTGCGTAACATAAATCATTGCGTGTCGTGGTTTGCGCATCGTAAAAGGGTCTTTTTCTTGTAGTGGATTAAACAATTAAGCAATCAACCCAATTACCCATCCCCATTATCTTCTTTATTCTTAAGGATCCACCCAAAGAGTCAGCTATTTCTCGTTCATTTATTCCTAAGGATCATCCTAAGGAATCGGAACGAAGTACATCGTTGCCACGGTTTACACAACAGGCACTAAGTCTACTTAGTCGTCAGGGGTTATGCATCAAGTATGCATGATCGCCAAGGTTTACACAATAGACACTAAGTCTATATAGTCTCCAGGGTTTAGGCATCAAGTCTGCATGATCACCAAGGTTTAGGCACCAAGTCTGAATGGTCGCCAAGGTTTAGAGTACACCGGGTGAACACATCATTCACAACACCTACATGTTGTGAGCCTGCTAGTGTTCCACTGGACTGTCTAGAATAGTTTGTGGTTGTCATCCATACTCTGCTGAATGACGAGGCCATCGTTTGGGAAAAGGATTCTTACATCGTCCACCTCTCACCCTCACCACGTAGTCTATAACACCTCTCAACTCAACATCAAACTCATATTCCATCTATTACATCTACCTATGTTTTACCCCAACATTATCATAGATATAAAATACATATATAGTTTAAATCATTTAAAACATGTATAAAATCGTTCATCCAGCATACACAACAAGTATTCAGATAGTATGCACACATAGCACGTAATTTATATAAAATACTTCATATTTATGTGTAAGATGAAACTAATTATGCACTCACCTGAGAAGGTGGTGACTTGGTACTCGGACATCACTTCGTTTACTTTAAAATAATTTCCATCGACGAAACCTAGTATTATTACCACTAGATTTTAGTCTAATATTTACCGTGACTGATTATTAGTCTTATTATTATTATTATTATTATTATTATTATTATTATTATTATTATTATATAAGCGTTTAAACAATACTTTCCAACCACTATGTACAGACAGGGGCCAGACATAAAACACCGGAGGGCAGGACCATTTTGGCGTATAGCACTTCTGAAATCCAACAACCCTATGCGGCCCTTTAAACCAGATTTCCTGTACCGCGAGTAATTAAAAAGATATTATAACGACACTTATATAAGTCATAATAATAGGCTCAAATATTTATTATAAATTTATAATAACAATACTAATTTTAAATATAAACTATATTTAAAATAGGGTAAGCATAACTTACTTACAATGGGATTTTAGCTAGGAGTCGGGCTCAGAACTTTGTCACTGAATCTTTCTAAGAAAGATTCGTGCAACGCTTCAACACTCACCTTACTATACTAAAACTACAGAAAGAGAAGTCGAATCACAAGGCACCGAAATGCTCGAGGGATAAGGAGAGAAATACTCTTGAATCAAGAGAATGGTGCAAGAAATATGAGAGTCTAAGGCTCTTATTTATACTAATTAAATGTTCAAAAACTACCCTCTATAATTACTTAATGACCTTTTAGTTATATAAACAACTAAACACCCCTTTATATTACTATTTTAATAAGATTTAACGATATTTGTACTAAACTAATGTCGAAAGAACTCAACATTAGTCTTATAATGACCGCATCGTCGATACCTTTCTAATGATATATATATATATATATATATATATATATGTGTGTGTGTGTGTGTGTGTGTGTACGTACATATGATTTATACTTTATTTTAATATGTAAATATGCTATTATAATTTGTAACTCGTTCATACGAACTCCGTTTTTGACGTTATTTATATCCACACGT